GTCTCCAAGATGGCGGGGCTATTAATGGAAGCCAAGCTAGGGAAAAAATGGCAGAGAAAGGTATGGTGGACGAGGAAGAGCGCGTTGAGGAGGAAATTGAAGGACCATCAAAGAGGCGTCGGACGGGTTTACGGCTCTGTGGCATCTGCCGCAAGACTGGCCATAATGCAAGGACATGCTCGGAGGCTGGAGAAATAGATAGCTTAAGCGATTCTGAGTAGTTTCAATTGATTGCATCAGATTCTGGTGGACTTTTGGCAGTTTGTAGTGGCATAGTCCGGAAAATGTGTCCGACTCAATGGGGTGTCCGAGTCAATGGTGAATCACGTTAGCTAAAGATGATTCGGCGAGCCCTTGGCAGAGCGGAGTAGGAATATACAATCAACAACCAATTAGTAATCTAGATCTTGGCAAAACCCTACAGTCTGGCAATAGCCATCCTCCACGGAAACACTGAGCCCCACTCATATTCCCTACCAATCACGTTCCATGCTTGGCATTAATTCAGCCATGCCTTCCGAGCGGGCCGTCGAGTGCAAGGAGTTTTGGGGTTTCTCACAGACACCTGATCCTACTCTCCCACGACACCCGCTCGTTTTCCGGCATTCACGCTTTGGCGGTTGGCGAGATCTGCTTTCCAGGCATTTGATTGCTCTGTATACGTTGACGAAACTCTATTCCGGCTCACAATCTTGTGGGACCTCCTCATCTCGGTTTGTCCGCCCGAAACGGTACAACAGGACGGCGCCTGTACCTCCCGAAACCTCGCCATGGACATCCACGAGCGTCGGGGCGATGCCTCGCCGCTGCCGCTTGTCCGATTTCGAGTGTCCCCTGCGCTCGCGACCTTAGCCTTGACTATGGCTTTCCTACCGATGGTGCTAGGGCACGGCGGGCACGACGCGAGCAAGATCCCCGAAGGACAAACTGTATCGCTGGATCCCATTGTACGTTCGCGGTTGTTGGGCTTCAGGTATCGCAGCCACTGACAGACCGTAGGACACCACATTATGGGTACACATCTTTGTCCAGATGCTCGCATTTGGCATCCTCTTCCCGCTAGGCATGGTTCTTGGGGTGAGTGACCGGCGCTCCTCAATTCAGGGAACCGGTGCCTGACGCGCATTTCCTGCAGATCATCAAGAGCCGCTGGCACGTCCCATTACAAGCCGTTAGCACCGCCCTCGCTCTCCTCGGATACGCTCTCGGCCACCTGCACCGCGGCAGGCAATTCAACCCCAAGAACGTGCACGCCAAAGCCGCCACACCCCTCTTCTTTCTGATGGTCGGGCAAGTCGTCGTTGGCATCTATCTGAAGTTGCATCTTGAGAAGGGCTTCCACGGCCGCATCCGCCCCGTCTTCCGGCTGCTGCATAGCATAAACGGCAAGGCGTTCCCAGTGTACGCGTGGGTACAAATGGTCTTTGGCGGCATCACGGCGCTGGGCTTTTGTCAGGGCGACCACCTGGGTCAGTGCCTAGCGCACTTCATCATGGGCGGTGCATTCATTGCCTATGCCGTACTCCTGACCATCCTCCTGCTCGTCGGCCAGCTCTGGCTCCGCCGAACCGGACGCAGCCAGGAGTTCTTCGACAGCGCCGTCATCGCCGCCTGGGGCTGCGTCAACACCTTTACCGAGCACCGCTGGGGCACCGAATGGGTCAAGAACGACTGGCAGCACACGACCATGGGCATCATCTGGTGGAGCGCTGGGTTGGTGGGCGTGTGGTTAAGCAGGGGCCGGGACGGCTTGCCGAAGCGCAACTTCATCCCGGGGTTCGTCATTCTCATCACCGGCTGGGCCATGTCAGCGCATCCGCAGGAATTGATGATCAGCGCCATGACCCACAAGATGTTCGGCTACACCCTCATGGGCGCCGGCCTGGCCCGCATTATCGAGGTTTCCTTCGTTCTCAAGGACAAGCCCGGTGTCTCGGAGGACGGCACGCAGTACAATAGCTTCCAGTTCATTCCCGTCTTTGTACGTTGACCCTTGTCGCAACCCAGTGTTCCTTCGCCTGCTGACGCTTTTCCAGCTCCTCTATGCGGCTGGCTTCCTCTTCATGGGCGCCACCGAAGAGCAAATGTCACTCGTGGCCGGCTCCGGCATGGACCACGTCGCGTACATAATGATCCTCTACAGCCTTGCGTCGCTACTCTTCCTGTTCACCCTGGCTCTCATCCACGTCTACGATCGCGCAGCTCCGATCGCGCAGAAGCCACTTGTTAATGGGCATGCCCGGGTGGGTGATGAGGCACAACTGAGGGACGCGAGTGAGTTTGAGCTGGACGGACTGGTGAGTGACGATGAGGATGAAGAACGGGCGGCGAGGAGGAAATTGCTGAAGGACGACGGACCGGAGGAAGATGGGCTTGCGAGCCCGAGCACGGTGGGGAGGAATAGTGATCGCGTTGCATAAGTGGGGAGTGTAAGAGATGGATTATTCGCATTTGTCTGCATTGGGCGGCTCGGGCGGGTATGGTTTGGAGTTTTGGGTTGACTCTTGGCTGTTTCGGGAGTTTTGCCGTGTTCCAACGATCGGTTTTGTCACAACTAATATGGTACATGCTATCCGTCGGGGCCATGGTTCTGGCCAAGACTTCACGCAGTGTTCGGTAAGATATTTTTCCCTTTCTTACGCCGTCGTTTTACCCACCTGCCACACATGTCATGACGTCGGTCGAGGCACGGAGCAAGGATCGGCGAGGAGCTTGACGATCTGCCTAATTTTGCTTGCCGTGTCGTTGCAGGAGCGTGCGATATGCCCGGTACTTAAGAAGCTCCCTTCGGCCAATTTCAGCAGCGCTTTTTACTCATCCGGTCAACAGTGTATGCCCCAATCTGTCATTGCGGTTATCGCCGCCGGCTCACCGTTTCGCCCAATCTGAGCAGACTTCTCTGACAGTCTTCTCGGAGCAACAAAGTGTAGCTTTCACGGGCATCAATCGTTCTTCCCGGGTGTTCGACCATCCCACAATCCACAATCTAATTGTCCACCAACACCACATCCGAGCACACCGCACCCCCAAACAATGTCGACAGTAGCCCTGCAAGCCCAATGCCTCTGCCGCGCGCAGACCTTCACCACGACCGTCGCCACCGCCTCCCTCCCGCTCAAGGGCTCCTGTTGCCACTGCACCTCGTGTCGGCACTTCTCGGGCGCCCTGCGCTCCTCCGACGCTGTCTGGCCCGGTCCGAAGGCGGATATCGTCGCCGCTGCCGGAGCTGACACCGCCATCGTCACCAACGGCATCACCACTGCTCCTACTCCTGCCGTTGCGGGAGGGGATCCGGTGCTGAAACGGTATCAGCACTCACCCCGGGTCAACGTCCTCTTCTGTGGCACGTGTGGAAGCGGCATGTTTTTTGAGGAGTGGGACGACACGGAAGCGAAGGAACGAGGCGGGGTGGAGGAGGCGAGCTATCTGGTTTTCACCGGGGTTCTGTCAGTGGTGGAGGGGGGGGCATTGGAGGGAAGGTTGCCGGTGGTGTTGGAGGACCATGTATTTGTGGGCGATACGCTGGACGGGGGCGCGGCGTGTTGGTTGCGGGGGATTAACGGGACAGGCCAGCCCCAGGCGAAGGTGTGGTTGGGCCGGAGGAACCAGAGCGAGGAGGTGAAGGCTGGGACGCAGTGGCCTGCGGTGGGTAGTCTGATGGAGCATGGGGCAAATCTGAAGGGCGAAAAGGGCGATGTGCCGCTGCGGTGTCACTGTCGCGGGGTGGACTTGGTGCTGCGGGCCGGCGATGCTCAGAGGGAGTTTGAGGAGATGCAGAAGAATGGGGAGGAACTGCCTCGGTTTGTTGACCCCCGCACACACAAGTTGCTGGGCGAACTAGATGCTTGTGACTCGTGCCGGATTTGGGGCGCGTCCGAGTTGTTCAACTGGACATTTGCTTGGCTCAAGCACATTTCGTTTGCAGGAGCTCCGGACAAAGGTTTCCCTGCGAACACGGCCCAACTGAAAGCGGCAGTCGAGGCAGCAGATGACAGCTCGCGCGATCCCAGGCTCGGCACGTTGGCTGTATATACCAGCTCACCACACGTCCAGCGCTACTTCTGTGGGCGGTGCTCGGCCAGCGTGTTCTACACCATTGATGACCGACCAGACAAGGTTGACATCGCTGTTGGGTTGCTGGATTCTCCAGACGGCGCGAGAGCCGAGAGTGTCATATCGTGGTCGTGTGGGCGGGAGACATCCTGGAGGGACGACATGATTGGCACCTGGAGGGTACGCATGTTGCACGCAGTCGAGAAGGAGGCGGAGCAGTGGCGGATTGAGAGAGGATACCCAACGATCTGGTACAGACTTGCACAGGAGCAGGTTCAGCAGGTTGGAGGAGATGCCCCCTGACCACCTCGTGACTTTGTATTGTGGATTTAGGTGGACACTCAATGGTGCTCGTGGCTAGGGGTCATCATCATGGAGACGACAACCCCGCTTCTCTATCAACATGCTTTCACCTCGCCTCTGTGAGTTAGTGGTGAAGTTTATCTGTATCGTTGCAATCAATGGGCGCCGGTCTATTTCGCGGCTACCTGTACCTTAACGCAGCGCATTATTCTGGACCACTTCCCGTCTTTCTGGCGTTTGGCCGCTAATAACACGTACCAGATAGAACAAGTCAAGTGTCAAAAAGGGGCACGCAAAACAATACGTCACCTGTAGGATTCGAACCTACGCTCCCGAAGGAACTGCCTAACATACTAACTGGCGATTAGCAGGGCAGCGCGTTAACCACTCCGCCAAAGTGACCTACACTTGAAGTTGGCTGTAGGCATACTATGTATAGCTAGTATTTTTCTCGTAGATCTTAAGATTAAACTTACGTTACTTAATTGGCAAAGGTATATCGTCGGAACTGGCTGGATGGTATGTGTGATTGGCTGTAAAGATGAATGGAGAGAGTGATTTGTAATGCGGCAGGAAGGGTCTAGATGTAGTAGAGTTTGTAAGATTTTCATTGCGTCCAGCTTACCAGGGCATGTGAGAAGTTCCAGTGGAACAATTCTACGGTTGCCTGACACTGACTGTCTTGGTATCCCACGTGCACCTTCTTGCGTATGAGTCACATCGACATAAGCATCTGTAATCTGCCTTCAATTCAGCCAGATCAATCCATGTTATTTTTGTCAAGAAACCCTCCATCTCATCCCGAAACATGGAAATTTTGGATCAATTGGGAATTCCGCTGTTGCGCACTCCCGAAGACCCCCGCCCCGTTGTTGTCATGACATGTGGAATCGCAGGCTCAGGCAAATCAACCCTGTCCAAAGCTATTATCGCCCGACACCCAAACTTTGTTCGTCTGTCCATCGATAGCATTGTCTACGCCAGGCATGGCCTGTATGGCGCCGACTATTCCCCTGACAAGCTTGAGGATTACCAAGCGGAAGCCGACACCGAGTGCAGGAGAACATTGATGCATTTGCTGGATCAGGGCGAACGGGATATCGTCCTCGATCGAGCATTATACAGCCGAGAAGATCGCGATTACTTCAAGAAGGTAGTGGAGGAGAAGGGAGGAAGATGGATCCTGGTTTTCTTTCGTCCCGCCAGGAAGGATGTGATTTGGAACCGAATCCAGAGACGGAGGGAAGCGGGCGTCGACGGGGATTCCGCGGTGGAGATAACACCTGAGGTTCTGGACGCGTACTGGGACGGCTTTGAGAAGCCAGAAGGGGAGGGCGAGATTGTCGTTGATGTCACAGAGTGACTCGGTCATGGGAGTAAAAATTTCAATCGGTACCTAGCTGTGCAGTATCTGATCACAGCACATACTCTCCGGGGTTCCAGAAGCGCCATTCCCACTCAGCCGCCCAGGAGAGCTACATGTACACGAGCACAGTACGTCCAACAATTCCATGGTACATCCTAATCACGAGCTTTCCAATGGTAGTCAGTTCTAATTCATCTGCCTCATTAAGCAACTCATTATTGAAATTGAGGTACCGGCTCATTGGCAAACTCTCTATGGTGCCTTACATGTACTTAGACGATCCAGTGGAAGGTTGGGACCGTCATGGTTCTGGCCAAATGGCGATGGGCTGTGTCGCCCTCTTGATTCATTCCTCCTCGGAGACGCCTGAGTCTGGCGAAACACAGCGTACATGTCCTCAAGGACCGATGGGTCAGTCTGGAATCAGATTCCAGCTTCCTGCCTTCTCTATCACCGATAACTATGGCACAATCAATCAAAACCGAAAGATTGGTGCCTTTAATCTGCAAACTGGAGACAAGGACTGCGGATGTCGTATTCCTTGACACCTAATGTGGGCCAAGAAGCAATAAACATGCCCTTACGGGCTGGGGCTGATGACAGCGAGTAGCCGCGCTCAAATGATACGTCCGGTAACAGGTTGATACTCACCTTAAGGTATCAAGGTACCCAGGAGGCAAGCCTCACATCCCTTCCGCTTCGAGGGTGAGTGTCAACTTCGCTCAACAGGCTCATTGGCAACTCTATGGGCACCCACCTCTTTGTCAATCCCCGAAATTCGTGTACGCCAAGACAGCCTCCAGTTCCAACACCACACGGTTGTACAATACAACTCCCACCTGGAATCCTTCTTGTCCAAATCCCCCGACGCAGCACATCCCATACACCGCTCTACCACCACCTTATACGATGGGCTGATCAAGGCAACCCTTTGCCTCCTTCATATCGTCAGCCCTCTTGTTCAATGACCGAGTTGCATCATGCCTACCCGCACCATTTTGAGGTGCTTTCGCCCATCTAGTGTCGTTTCTGTGTGACCTGGAATCAGAAAAGAGAAGAAGCAGCTCGTCCGGACATGGTTGCATTGCAAGTTTCCTCGGTTCTCCACAGCCACTTGATGCCCACTGCCCATCTATGCGAATATCTTCACGATGAGCCAAAGAGAAATTGCTCACAATGTTCAAATCGTTTGCATTCTTTTCAGAACCACCGCAAGACCGTCGGTGAGCAGTACGCAGCCATAACACTGCCCCAATCTTGGATACCGAAACTCAAAGGTGAGAAGACGCGGTTTAAAGATGTGGGCTGGGAATCTGGGAGCTCATCAGAGGGGCCGAGCTTCACTCGATGACCGGCTGACGGAAGCGCCTCACGAGAGATTTCGCTGCGCTGGCCCGTCCGAGAACATTTCCTTCTGCGAGACATACGACATCGGATACGTTCGGGACAAGCTTCCTAAGCTTAAACCGGATTTTGCCGAGATTTTGGGGCAGGCGATTACGCGGCATCATCAGTTTCTCAAGTACCGCGAAGCCCACCATGCGAAGGTATCAGCAGGCCTAGAGACGCTGGTCCGTGACCGACAACGTCCGGGCTCAGCAACTGTTACGGGCCGGACCGAGATAGTCCCCATGACAGTTGCCTCATCGCTACCGGACGACCTGAAGACCCTCACACACATCGACCTGAGAACAAGCGTCTTTGATGAAGATCGTGGATCAGGCACGGGGTTTTCGAAACCTCATATGCTACATCCGCTGGCTTCCTAGCCGAGGAAGTCGATGGGCAGCGTTTGATACCACCGCCCCCGCTTAGAGTGCCACCTTACCCGAGGGCGCTGAACGTGGAAGCTTTGAGTGCCCTTTCTGCTATAGAATGGTATCTGCTAGGACCCGTGCGGCATAGAAGTAAGTCGAACCCATTTCTCGACGTACCCGCCCGAGCTTGTTGTTCACACCCACGCCATGAGCAGACGACACGTGTTTGAAGACCTCCGGCCCTACACCTGTCTCTTCCCAGAGTGCGCCATATCCAGCGCCCCGATTTTGACCGTTGCCATACCTGGCAGGCACACGTTTAGGAACACCACTGGCAGTCCTGGTCTTGTCCCTTCGGACGCGACCAGGTCTTCCACTTGGCTGCCGATCTCAAGCATCACCTCAGCCAGCAGCACATGCCAGGTGGCCCTGAGGAGCAACTCGACGCGATTGCATCCCTTGGCAAAAGACCCGCCGCCTATGACACCGCCAACCCATACCCCGTGTGTGGGCATACCTTGGTAGGACTGAAGCCATACATCAGACATGTGGGCTGCCATCTCGAGCAGCTTGCACTCTTTGCTCTCCCATTGCTTGAGGATGAGAATGGGTCTGAAGACGCTGAGGCGGACGGCCAGGATGACCTTTTGTTTGATGACGATGAAATTCACTCTGAAGAAGACAGCGGGAGAGGGCAGGATTGCGACCAGGTCCGAGGCTGGCTCAGGCAACGCATTGAGTGGACGGTCCAACTCCACCACGAGGTTGGACAGCCTCCAAAGACTCGGATAAGAGTCGGACTGGGAGATGGGATCTGGCCTGGCGATTCCCAGGAGCGGAAGTTCAGGGACCGAGCATGCTGTGACTGGAACGACACACCGGCAAAGACATGGCCCACCCGAAAACGGCGAGGTACCCTTTCCTGGCTTGTGGACTACACACATGGAAGGGGGGGGGTCCAGCAGCCAACTGGAAGAGAAAGATGTGCGTCAGGGGCCCCCGGGACCGGAAAGGTCAGATTTAAGTTTGTTCCTCTCATTGAGTCTATAGACTCCAACATAACGTTAGAACATTTAGAGCGTGTGGGAGGGGAAAGGGAACGGCTAACTACCCTCCTACTGCCGGCGGAGCCACAAACACCCTGCGTGAAATTGGTCAACCCGGCACGCTATTCGAGTGGCAACCCAACGCTGCGCACTCATCCAAGGCTCTCGACAGATGGGGTAAAGCGGTGAAACAGTACGAAAATTGCTGAACAGATACGTACAGTCAAAGGGGCCAAATTATCCGGACACTGCAGTCGTTTTGGTACGCCTGGTCGTCATACGCGCAACAGGGCCGAATATATGACGCCCAGCACCTCTCAAAGAGTCATGGAAGGCTGCGCAAGGCGTCAAGCTGGTCACCCTACCTCCACGCTCCCTAACTCGGCCAACACTATCACCAGCGTTTCCCGCAGCCCTCCCTCACCCTCATCGCAACAGAACCATTCGTCCCCCCCTTCTAACTATCAACTGACCACCAGGGACACCACAGCCGGCACCACCACCACAACCAAGCTTTCCCTCATGTTGTACGATCACGGCCGAGATTCATCTGCCTTAGCTCTGATGGAGAGCTGTGCCGAAGCTCGTCAGAGAGTCCTCAGCCCCGAGCACCCGGATACGCTGTCTTCTTTGGCCATCCTCTCTGAGTGGAGAGAGAAACGCCAGGTTATCGAGTCACTCAAAGTGGACAGTCTCAACCTTGTGAAGGATTCGATGGCAGCCAAGGTGGCCGAAGAATGGGAGGATTCCAGGAAAGGCATGGAAGAGGCGATGGACTGAAGACTGATACATCGTGACGGAATTTACCAATGCAACCGGGGGGT